TCAGCATAATCTATATGATACGGTGCACTAGAGCTATTAGGCCCAAATTTCTGATGAGGACTGTGAGGCTCACAAGATTGCAAACTGTTGCCTGTGAATTGTTTAATATTAACCGTATGTTCGATAGCAGAGTCAGAACTGTGGGAACTTGCCTTTCTTAATTATTTAAATTCACTAAGAGAAAATCATGCCATTCTGGACATAGTTCCTAAAATCAGGGCAGAATTGTTCTTGATTGGGCCCTTATACTCCAACAGGAAGATGGTATGAACTTTCCATGTTGATGTGCACAAGTGGTGGGTCTGGAAGGTGCACAGATACTCATGGAAAACCAAGCAATAGAATCACAGTTGATGAGTCAGAAGTATCAAAACATATAAATAGTAGCATTTGAGATCAACCAAAGAACTTGAATGCTTATTTGCGTAAGCCATGGACACAGACAATAGGGTGATGAAGGCGCATATGTAATACTTTCAACAATAAAGATTTTTTTTAAAAAAACTTTGCACAGGGTTCAGAAAACATTTGCTGCATCATCAGTCCTTAGGGTTTGGGAAATTCAGAGTTTGAATGACTTTTTGAGTCGAAATGTGACTACTATATTCCTCCAAGTTCCATTACAGCTTTAGAGTCACCTCATGCTGGAACTCTCTATTTCCTTGACAGGTCAGTTTGTCTCCCCTGTGTCCTCTCACTGGAGATGGGCTGGTAGATGTAGAGCCATTAAATATTTCCCTATATATTAAAAATGTGGGTAGGTAGGTCAGGTAAATAGGTAGCTGGGTGATAGATAGATAGATAGATAGATCACACTACTTCTGGATCTGATATTGAGTTGCTGTAACATTGTTTTTATTACTCCAATAGACTCTGACCAATGGATGCATTTTCTCACTCTGTATTGGTCCTCTCACAGCAAGCCTTCCATAGCAAAAAGGTTGCAAAGTCCTAATTTACCACTATTTGAATTATCTGCATTTCACCTGGCTTCTCCATTCAAATGCATTTTTAGTCCAAGAGCCCAGCAGTGTTATTCTTTTAATTTTATATGCCCACAGAGCTGAAACATTTGAAGTACAAGCATGGGACCGAATACTTTTCAATTAGATGTTGGCACATACAAACACTCCCAGACACTAACTGGCACAGATCAACTACCATTCACTGAGCTTAATGGATATACTCTAATGGCATGGCCAATGGTGGAGCAATTTTGGAGCCTCAAGAAATGTAGCAGCAGTGGAAATTACAGTCCACAGCATGACAAGAAGTCCTTCAGAAAGGTTTTGCACAATTAGCTTATTTCAGAAATGAAAAAGGCCAATTGGACTAATTTGCCAGATCTTGGCAGGACATTGATACCAATTGCTTTTTGTCACTGTTTACTTACCTCTCTGTTTCCTTAGGTATGGAGGACCAAAAAAGAAGATTGTTTCTTATCAGAGTCAATGAGTATTTGTATTAAAGCCTTTTTATTTGAGAAAGCACAGAATGGTGAGTCCTTCTTTTCTTTTTTCCTCCTGAACCCTGTGAATTTTCAAGCTTCAAGTTATTTTTTTTAACATATAAAGTTTCTCATTAAATACTCTAGGTCTGTGCTTGGATTGAAATATCGTCATTTGGGTCTTATAACTACAAATCAAAAATTTTCTCTATTGTTGTTATTATTTGCAAATTTCTAGTAGTCATTTTTATAGTCCCCATCCATGTTATAATTTCAAGTAAATCGAGCAATGAAAATTTTATAGTGCATCCCTAATTGTGCACCAGACTGGAACTGTTCATACAAATTCCAAGCAATTATAAGGCTTTCTGGGAAACATTGGCAGCAAACACTGGATTAAATGTTTATAACAGCAAGCCAGATGGGAAACAGAGATAAGGAAAATCTCATGGAAACTTTTTTTTTTTCCCCAAACTACAACACTATTTTAAATTAACCTGGCCAAGGGGAAGCATTTTCACATTGTTGCACAATAATGAGTTTTTGGTAAGTAATAGCAGTTAAATTGTGGGAATAATTTTATAAAGCTGTAACCCTTTGTGTCAACTGTGACTGATGTTATAGACATTTGATGAATGAGACTCAAAGGATGTATTAGAGAATCCAAATTTTAAAGTGACTGCTGAAAAGATGCTCAACATCACTAATCATCAGAGAAATGCAAATTAAAACCACAATGAGATATCACCTCACACCTGTCAGAATGGCTACCATCAGTAAATCCACAAATGGCAAGTGTTGCGTGGATGTGGAGGAAAGGGCACCCTCGTCCTCTGTTGGTGGGAATGCAGACTGGCGTAGCCACTGTGGAGAGTATTATGGAGTTACCTCAAAAAATTACAAATGGATCTGCCTTATGATCAAGTTATCCTTCTTCTAGGTATATATCCAAAGAAACCTAAAAGAATATATACACCCCTATGTTCATTGCAGTGTTATTTACAATAGTCAAGATGTGGAAGCAACCCAAGTGCCCATTAATAGATGATTTGGGCCCAGCTGACATGGCTCAGTGGTTGAGCATCAACCTATGAACCAGGAGGTCACGGTTTGATTCCCGGTCAGGTTGCAGGCTTGATCTCCATTGTGGGGCATGCAGGAGGCAGCCCATCAATTATTCTTTCTCATCACTGATGTTTTTGTCTCTCTCCCTCTTCCTTCCTCTCTGAAATCAAATAAAAATATATTTTTAAAAATAGACGTTTTGATAAAGAAGATGTGGTACTTATATACAATGGAATATTACTCGCCCATAAAAAAGAGCAAAATCTTACCATTTGAAACAGCATGGATAGACCTAGAGGGTATTATACTCTGTAAAATACATCAGTAGGAGAAATAAAAATACTGTATGATCTCACTTATATGTAGAATCTAAAGAATAATATAAATGAGTAAACAAAATTGAAGTAGGCTCATAGACACAGAGAGTAGACAAGTGGTTGTCGTAGGGGAGAGTGGCTGGGGAAGTGAGTGAAAAAGGTGAAGGGATTAAGAAATACAAATTGGCAGTTATAAAATAGTCATAGCAATGTAAAGTACAGCATAGGGAATATAGTTAATAATATTCTAATAACTATGTATGCTGCCTGATGGGTACTAGAAATATCAAGGGGAATGCTGTGTAAAGTATATGATTGTCTAACCACTATGTTGTTCACCTGAAACTAATACAAAATAATATTATATTATTAAAATAT